AGAAAAAGAATGAGCCTTTTTACCTCAGCCTTGCATTATTCACCAACAAGCCAATACTTTACTTTTGAGTTAAAGGATTATTACACTGAGACACAAAGGAAAGGGAAGACAAAAAAAATAATAATATCATATAATATAATAATATAAATCACTTGGCAATAACAATTTACAACTCAAGCTCATTGACTATTATCAGGACTGGAAAGGAAATTTGCCTTTCAACCAATCGCTATTATACTCTTCAGACTTTTTACTCAATTTTCTTACTTCAATACGTTTCAACTGCTAATAATCGATAAATCGTAAGATTGACTTTTCCATTTCCAATCGAAACATAAAAATATTGAAATGGTAATTTAAACAGACAACTTGATATAGAGTGTTTTAGTTTGTGTCTGGTTAAAGGTTGTATATCATACAATATGTCCAGCATTTATCGTCACTAATAAAATACAAAAGGTCAACATTTCTCGAGTTAATAATGAGAATATAATAACTCGAATGAAATAACAGCAGGAATTAGCAGCAATAATAACAAATAATAATGATGGTAGTATAATGAAGATAATGGTAATGGACAGTTTTCGGTACAAAACTAATGCTTGTATCAGTGAATAGACGAGTTGAATCTTTTTGATTTAAAAATATTAAATTATGGTTCTTTTTGAATTGAGGGAAATCAAATAAAAGTTTTAGTAGAAGTTCTTTAAGATGAGTACTTCAGAGACAACATTAATGCTCGACGTTGGTTTGTGATAAATTATTGATCATTAAAGTATAATATGGTCTGACTTACTTTGAGAATATGAATTCTGTTGCAGTGCAAATTGATTGCTTTGAGTATGCAACATGGAAACGGTTTAGTTAGTTGTCATCATCTATCCGTTCAAATCGAAGCTCGTTTCTCTAACCACCGTTTCTCTATGCAATTACTCGTTTTTTATGATGGAATTGAGGTTTGTTGAATAATTGGAAGAAATGAGTTTCTCTAACTTGAGCTGTATTCCCATCATTTCAATAATCATCACATTGTTTGTAAATTTGCATAATTTAACATTAAAATGAAGAATCTTGTTTGATCAAGTGAATAGTAAACCCACAATAAAACTTTCTCTGACTCATTGTCATTCTTTTCAACTTATCTGCCTTTGCTGTTTCATTTGGTCTATTTAAACGCTACAATCGGTGTACGCTCTTTGCAATTGTGTATTCTTTATAAGAGTATGAAACAAAACAAAAATGCAAAATGCACAAAATTGGTGCAAAGATCTAATGAACTCATGGAACCAAGTCCATCTTGAGATAGTTCTGTTGATTAAATATGAAATAGTTCAGCTCTGTAGAGTTCATCGAATCGGCTAACAAAAACTGGAGGCTATCCTTATGATGGGTGGCAATAACTTACAATTTCATATATTTAAGTGTATTAAAAATTGAAACTCCGTTAAAAATCTCTAATCATTTATACAAAGCTTAAACTCTTTAAATACCATCACTACGATCGTATTTGTGTTGCATATTCATTGATGAAACAGTTCACTGAATGTGATTATTCAATTAAAAAGCAGATGAAAAGCTGAAAATTATAATTTTTGTTGCTTCTTTTATTTCACTCATCAAATGTTATTATGCCTTTTTAGTGTGGGAGTGAAAATGGAAATATTGTGATTTGAATTGAATTTTTTTCCTTTACTTATTTAGGAAGCATTATAAGCTTGAATAAAGATGAAAAAGGTATTTACAGCAAAAGAGTTATCAAGTGCATTTCCATCTTACTTCAACTCCAAGCACAATAACAGTTAAAAATCCAAATATGAAGCAATCCGTCGCTAATTCATACCTTTAAGCTTCACTTTTACTGCCAAAGAGATAACATTAACTAGAAGCTAAATTCAGGAAAAATTTTCCTTACTCAGAAACTTGACTCAGAAAATTGTGAAACTTCAAGAATACTTGAGCTTTCATCAATCAAAAGGTATTCAAAGATAAAAATAACTCAAAAGTTTCAAATAACATTTCAAATGTTCAATCAACTCCACTGATATCATCACTAGCCTAAGCCAGGACTGGACGGTAAACGAAAAGTTCATTAAACTTTTGTTATTGAGTTAATCTTTATTGAGAACTATAGCGAAATCAAAAAATTTATATTAATTGCAATTAAACTCGTATTGGATTTTACATTTTACCAAACCAAGTTGGACACAACTCGAAAAAATTGCATTGAATTGAGGTTGGAAAACAAATTTTTGTCTTTAATTAAAAAATGATAACAAAAGTGTTTTTGGTTGAATTCCCAGACTCTGAGCTTTTGTTCGGTTTGAGATGAATGACTTTTCATCTGAAATGAAACTTGACCTCTGTCGAGTTGAAAATGTACCGATAATTATAATCAAAACCATTAATTATGCAGATGAAAGCAAACACCAACTTGGATTATTTTTAAATATTATGAAAATACTTTTTACTTGAAAAGGCAAACATTTGGGCAGAGATTTTCATTCAAAGAAATAATTTCTCTTCTCTTTTTCCCCTGAATTTAATCACTTTCAATTCCATTATCATCATTAGTTGTTTAATATTTTCCATCCAAAGACTAATTATAATTAGAGTTGGTTAAACTTTGATAATGGTGAAGCTGAGGTTGGATTGAAATTGGATTCTCTAAGCGAAAACATACATGAAATTGTTGAATTGCTTGAGAATTTGCTCGAGTATATTCATTTTTCTTACTTTATATATTGAACTAAATTTATAATGAAAATTAATCACAGGTAATGAAGAAAAGATCAAGATGAAATTAGAGGAATCCAAAGAAATTATAATTTTGAGCAAACAGTAATAAAGGTAAATAGACTCGCCATTAGTTGAAATGAGCATTAGATTAGCTGAGAAATATGATAACTCAAATGATTAACCCAAATAGCAAAATGAGTTTTAATTAAATTTACGATTTTATACAGCCAATACAGAATTTCGTACACTTGCAAAAATCCTAGAACTCATTTTTCCATGAAATTTCTCAACAAAAGTAAAAAAGATGAAAAGTTGTCTCGATAGATCGAGTTCTTAAGATTGATTCTCCAAGCCATGCTAATCTTTTTTTCCTTTTCTATTGATGACATTGGATATTGTTGCAATTGTCAAGTTAATATCAAGTGTATTTTGGCCTTTAGTCGTTTCAACATCGCTCTGTAAGCGATTCCTTCATCAGCAAGAGCTAAAATTTCACAGTCGACCAACTCATTAATTTTTCACATTTAAGCATTTTCGCTCTCAATGGTTTGGTTTAGAGTGGAAGGTAAGGTTAGGTAATCTATCACGATCTACAGATGCAATGTGATTCGCTCATTTTTAGGATGAATAAATTCGAATCTTTCAAGAATGACCTTCATGTGTCGATGTCAAATAACCAAATGACCTTGAATAACTTGAAACTGTCCAATGTCAAGGTCAATCATCCAACAACTTTAATCGCAACATTCAATTAATGCAGCTGTTAGAACAATTTGTCTTGTCTCGAAATCTTTTTTCACCATCGCTAAGATAGTCATTCATGTATTCATTTCTTGTTATTGCATTTTCTTGCTCAATATAATTCAATTTCAATTTTGAAAGAAGACTTTTTCATCAGCTTTTACTTTTTCCTTTTGTTGTCGCAATAATTTTATAATAATTTGCTTCTTCATTTCATTTCTTTATTCCGCCATCTGAATAACTAGACTGTCTTTGTCAAGTCGATTGCAATTTCTTTTCTTTTCCTCAAGATTCATCCTGAAACATTGAACAACCAAAGCAAAAGAAAAACAAAAAATCTCTTTTTGACAGAACATTTACTTTTTCCTTTGGAAGAGAAGAAAAAACATTTTTTTTCATATCAAATTTCCTTCTCTCAATTGTCAACTCTTTATTTCCATTCTTTCATAATAAACAAATTTACCTTTCATCTGATGAGAAAAGAAAACTCAGAAAAAATGAAATAGAAAAAATCACAAGAGAAACTTTGGCTCATTTCAAGAGAAAAATATTTTCTCTATTCACAACTGATTTAATATGTTGCCCTATTCAGATTAAGACGAGTCATAAAGGGAGAGAAATATTGCGATTTAAGAATTTCCTTCTTTTCACCATCATGGATGAATACATGAATAATGATGATCTCTCCATGAGGATTAATTTGCGCCTTTCATTTTCCCACTTAATCCAGCCTCCATCAAATGTTAGCAAATTTTCCATCAAATAAGTGCATATAAATCAAGCATATTTTACTCTCACAAATCAAAATGAATCGCAAATCTTGAACAAATCTTATCACCATAATACACTCACATCATGTTGCAAGTGCATTAAGTTGAAATAGTCGAGTAAATTTAAACACTTTGCTGCATGGAGAAGAAAGAAGAGATTGAGATGAAAATGGTTGAAACTTGTTCTGGTAAAGAAAAGGGTAAAAGTGAAATGAATGAGAAATTAAATTGAAATGGAAAATGATAACTTTTCCTCTTTTTGCAGGTAAAATCAGATTCACTTTGCTAAATGTATTTAAATTGCGAGTAAAGAGATTGAAACGAAAAATTAGTTTTCCATTGTAATTTCACCATTTTAGCTTGTGCATGGTTACAATAGATGAAGATGAATTGTGTATTTAGTTGGTTTTTTCAAGAGTTACATGATTGTTCAAACAAAGAGATTGATTCATGTTGCAAGGAAAAGTTGAAAGGAAAATATCAATATTTTTTCTCTTCGCTTTTTTTAGGTTTTCTGTTTTTAAAGCAAGAGTTTGCAGTCTGAGTGAAAGGAGATTTGAAATGATGATTAAAGAAGATGTTACTGAATGAGAATTGCAATTTTGAAGATTGTATCAATTCTGTAAAGAACCATTCGATTAAAAGAAATAGCGATTCAGGGTTCTTTGAAGGCAAAGGATTGGTTTTGTAGTTGTGTTTGAGTCTTTTGCTTGAACCTTGTTAGTAAAGATTTGTAAATAATATTGAACTGACCTTCCAGTTATATCGATATAAGCATGTGATGATGATGAATCACCATTTGGAAACTGTTTGGCTCGTTGGATTGGACCTTTTCGAGCATCAAGAGAGTATAATGCAGTTTCGTCTTCCCCGCGAAACCATAAAATTAAATCAATTGTATCATTTGATGGATGATCAATTGAACAAGGTAAAATGGCTTTACCTTCCTCACCGGCAACAACCAAGGAAGCTGGCTCAGGATTAGAAGACAGAAGCTGTGACAAGTTGTTTTCCTGGGTTGATCCATGAACATAACTTGCCTTTAACATAATGGATGCTTGCAGGAGAAGCAAGCAAGTTGATTGTGATAAGATGAAGGATGGAAAATTGATGATAATCATCATGATTAGTGAGGTAAATTGTATCATTATCATCCTTTTGGAACAAGCAATTCATCCAAACATTTGGAAAATTGCAGGGAAAAGAAAGTGACAAGAGAATAGTTTTATTTTATCTCAATTGAATGATAAATTTATAAATTTGATTATTGATGAAAAATTCATGATTGACAAATTGGGTAAAGGTGAAAAATGTCTTTCAATGTACACTTCACTTTGACATTGCATTTTGTCAACATGAAAATGTCTAGTTTGTTAACCTTCTTTTTATATTTATATTTTTGGGTTTCATTTCATTTTAATAATTTTCCGGTAAAGGTAGTTGATTAAGGTTAACACTAAATTTCATGGTTTTTATGTTAATCCTTGATAGAGACACAATTGGAAAACAAAAACATTTAAACTCTCACATAATAGTTGAACATAGTCTCTTCACTGTTGGTTTGCTGGTTCACTGGGTTTTATTTATAGCAACACACGAGATATTTATTTTCAGATGTTTCCACTTTTGATGGTTTGTTAGACAATTAGACACGAAAAAAATATTTTACTTGCAAAGACACAAAGATGGTTAAAATTGAATGTTGACAATTGACTTTTGCTTCAATTACTGGTTACCAGTTTCATGCGTTACTTAATTCAACATAGACTTTAATTGTTTCATCATTGATGTCACGTTAATTTAAAATAATGGTGCATTGGTATAATAATGCAAATTAATAGACTATTGAATGATTATTGGTTGAAGATTGGTTAAGAGAAACAATATAATGTTCAATGTGATACCCAGAAAACCGGTAAACATTAAAAGACTTGGATTGAACAGAGCAATATCAAACTCCAATCCAAATAAAGAAATCGAGAAATCAATCCATGTAAGGTTACTCCATCTAGTGGTTATAGCTGTGTTGTTGGTGTTTGGGTGAACATATGATTCTCTTCATGCTTTTTTAATCTTGATATTGAGTGTTTTGGTTTCGTCTTATTTTTTGTCTCTTCTTTTCATCATCTAATGTCATCTATTTTAAGATATCGTATTGTTAATTTAGCTCATCGTGGTCTACTTCAGGTAACTGGATCGGATACATTTCCTTATATTCAAAGTGTAATTACAAATGATTTAAGAGTTCCCAGTAAAATTGTTTATGCAACTTTTCCCAATGCTGTCGGTCGAGTTCTTCTTGATTTGATGGTTTATAAGATTAATGGTAATCCAAGTGAACGCCAATTGATGCTCAATGCTGTTGCCTATGAAAGATATGGAACTGATGGTAGACCAGAGGATAGTTTGTTGATTGAATGTGATGCTAATTTACTTGAAGCTGCAAGGAAAACATTATTTGCCTACAAAATTAGGCGGCAGGTAACTATTAGTCATGCCTGTGATTATGATTTGTTTGCTCTTTATCCAGACATTGAAGATGTTCACAGATTAAATAGAGCTGATTTGCCTGAATTGAGTCAAATTTTCTCTCCTGATTTGATAATTGGACAAGATCCTAGAATTGGCCGTTTTTCTTATCGTGTCATTTCTCGTTTGGGCCTTAAATCAATAGATTCTTTGATACCACTCTTATCACACCAAATACCTTATCCCATAGTTGAATCATCACTCTCAGATTACCATCGTTTTAGATACAAAATGGGTCTTGCTGAAGGTAAAGATGATTATAAACCTTGTTTCAGCAATCCGTTGGAATCCAATATTGATTACATGAATGGCTTGGCTTATTCTAAAGGACAATTTACTGGTAAATCCATAATTTCACGAAGTAGTGCCAAGTCTTCTCGTAAATATAGATTAATGCCAATTAAGTTGTTATTACCAGATACACCTAAAGTTAAGGAATTGAATTTAGCTTTCGGTACAAGAATATTTAGCAATGACAAGCAACAATTGATTGGTAAATTAATCAGTCGCAAAGGCTGTCATGGTTTGGCAGTGTTGAAATTAACTGGATGTTTAAATAATAACTTTCAATTGCATCATCTCGAATCAGGTGTTGAAGTTAATACATGGTTTCCAAATTGGTGGCCTGAGCCACTGGCACCAAAAGACTATTATCTAGCTCAAAGACAAATGAAGTTAATCGATGTAACAAATGTACAAAATAATCAGCTTCTTAGTTAATTAAATAAACTCTATGTATTACTATCAAATAATTGCTAATAAATGTAAATATCATCTCAAATCAGTGGCACTTTATATTTGTCTCAATGTGTCGAATACAAAGTATGCTTCGTTTGTAAGTTGATCATCGACAATGATATTAAAATTAAAGTACAAAACGTTTTTTTGTTTTCAATTGCTTTATTCACAAGAAATCAGAGTAGAAATCATTTCTTGAGAATATAGCAATTTGATTTTAATTAGTTACATATCACTGGAACGAAAGTGAAGGGGAAAAAGGAAAGGAAATTAATATTAGGATGAAAGTTGATGGCTGGAAATGAAAGCAATGTTTCAGTTAGGATTTTTCTTTTTCGTTTTCGATTTGCTAGATGATGGTGTTGATACTGGTTCTGTGTCCGTGGAGGCTCGCTTACGTCTTCTGAGCTCTGCTGATTCGGGATCCTAAGGTGAAAAGAAAAAGGAAATAAATTTTATTAAAATTGTCATCATTATCATTTAAGATTTAAAAGTAAAAGATCAATGGTTTAAATCCATTGAGCTCGAAAACAATTTCTTACATGAGCATCTGAAGATGTTGAAATATTACTGCGACGTCCTCTTGGTTTAGTTGGCTCATTCGTTGTTGATGTTGACTTTTGCTGAGTTTCTATAAAATCTTCGATCCCTTCAAGGATTTCTTTTTGCATCTCTACAGCCATTTGATGAACATCATGATCAGCACTGTTATACATAATGGCATTTTGGAACATTAACATCATATCTCGCTGGAACTCTGCAGTCGTTTTTATTTGACCGTTTTCAATCTTTTTCCTGATCGTGCATAAGTCCATAGGTCTATATACAACGGTTGAATATCCTTTTGCTTCACTATCGGTGACTGGATGAGCAAATAGAGTTGAAAATTTGTGAGTTGTTGCCTGTCTCCATAAAAGCATGATTGATTTTTTCCACATTTTGCTCTCTTTTTGATTCTCAATTTCTTCACTCGTCAAAATAGCCGATGCAGGACTGTTAGGGGCTGATTCAGTCACAGAAGATGCTTTACTAGTGGGTGCTGTTGTAGGAGCAGAAGTTGGAACCTTAATTAAAGTTGGTACAAGGGAAATGTTTGTATTGTCAGATGATTCTTCTCCGGCAGATGTTTCTGCGCTAACAGTTTGTGGTGGTGGTGGTGGTGGAAGAACCGAAGATGATATGATAGGAGCTTTTTTAACGCTAGTAGGTGTAGAAACTGAATCAGTGGTTACAACCGAGGATGACACAGAGGTTGTAATTGTAATTGATGAAGTAGTTGATGCAGTAGTAGTTGAGCTCTGTTCATCAATTGGCGCTTGTTCTTCTTCAGAACTAGTTTTATCTTTATTTGTCCGAACACGAACTGATCGCCTGGTAGGCGCTGTTGGAGGTGTTGCAGCAACTTGAACTGAGGTTCGTTTTCGTTTACGTGAGGCTGTCGCAGAGCTTATCGAAACTGGAGGTACAGATTTCGCTGGCGTGGCTGGAGGATTATCATCTGATTCTGATTTGTCTTCAACTTTAACGCTCTTAATATCAATTTTGTTCGAGCTTTCATCTTTCGACTCTTTAGATTCTATCAGCTCTTGCTTTATTTCAGTCGTTATTTGATCGCTGGAAGTTATAGATTTATCAACAGCCGCTTTCACTACAGTAGAAATAGTAGCATCTAATGTTACAGTTGGAATTTTCGCATCTACAACAGTTACAGCTGATGTATTTTCTTCGCTCGTATCTGAAATTGTAACAACATCAGCATCATTTTTGGTTAATTGCTCAGATTCAGCTGGTTTAGCTTCATCTGTGCTTTGAGTTTCTATCACAGACTCTTCACTTGGCTCAACCTTATTCGTTACATTTGTTTCTGTTTGTTCAACAGTATTAGCAGTATTAGTAAGCACTTCAGGAACATTTTCTTTAACTTCAACCATTTCAACATCTTGAATGGTAGTTTCCGTTTGATCGGTTTCCCTTGAAGGCGATGAAACAGCTTTTATAGATGTGGTTGAAGTTGTCTCTAATAGTTTGGTAAGAGTTGGAGAAGATGAAACGGCTGGTGGAGATGACAAGTCTCTCGCTTGAATTGAAGATGGTTCGGATGTTTCTTTACCGATAGTTTTGTTTTCAACAGCAATTGTTTCCGTAGATTGATTTGATGCAGATAATGAAGTTGCGGGTGTCCTAGGTAAAGTTGGAGATGTAATGGAACTGGATGGGAAGAAATGACCGTGAGTAGTTGATGGAGGTGTTCTCTGCTGCATATCCTTTACAGTAGACGGAGATAGAATATTATACGGCACAGCTACATTAGCTGATGGAGATGGACTTTGTAGGAGATGAGTAAGTAAAGGTGATGTTGATGGCGAAGAGACAACGGGTGAGGGCATGACTTTTGTCTTTTCTGGCGTTTGAGGTGTTTGTTGTGATTGAGGAGTTTGAGCTTGTGTTTGTATTTGAATTGGTGGCTGTGGCTGCGGTTGTGGTTGAATTTGTGCTTGCGTTTGCGGTTGCGGTTGCAGTTGTGGTTGCGGCTGTGGTTGAGGTTGTGCCTGCGTTTGTTGCTGTGGTAATTGCTGAGTTAATGGAATTTGCTGCGATGTTGTAGTAGGAGTTTGAGTAGGTGTAGTAGATTGGGAATTCTCGGTATCCGTTGAAGGAGGTTCAATTTTAACAGTCAATGGCTCAGGTAAAGATGTCTTTTCAGGAATATCTGAAAACTCGGATTTAGCTTTGGTTTCATTTTCATTCGGTGATGCTGCTGGATTTGATTTTGTGGACTTAGGCGATCTTATCATAACCAAATGTCGATTAGCCTTCATTTGAGCTATCTTAGCCTCCCTTTCTACGAGCCATTTCTCGTGTTCTTCTTTCTCAATCTCTTTGTTCTTTTCTTCTTTCTGCATCCTTTCAAATACTTCTTTGAACTTATCTGGACCCGCTTTGCCAGATTTAAACAGATCCAATTCATCTCGCAAATCGATACACTCTTTCTTCTCTTTAATTAACAATTCTTTTAATTCGTCAATACGCTTTTGTGTAAGTTCCAATACGATTAAGTCTTGAGCCGTATTTTCTCCTCGTTCTCCTCGTTTGCGTCTGTAATAAAATAGATGAAAAGAGATTAGAAATCTTAAGAAATAACTATGAAAGAAATTGCAGTAACATTGTCTAATAAATAAGTTTCAATATCTGCCAATTGCACCGCATTTAAAAGAAACCAAAATCATAACAAAGTTGATAAACTTAAAAAGCGAAATTTACTTTGGAGTTTCAACATTTTCCAACAATTCTGAATACTGAAGAGCGCAATTTTTCTGCGAAAACCAATCTGTGGGCCTATTAGGTTCACCAAAACATTTAAGTGATCGAGAAACCGAATACCTGAAAAATAAAAATGGACATCAATTACATTAACTCAAAGTCCAAATTTCAAATGGTTTGAATATTGAGGAAAGTGAAAGTGACAGAGAGTAAGAGTAGAAGAGACAGAAGCAATAACATACCAGTTTTGATCCCCAGATCGATGGACCGAAGAAGCAAGAGCCAATTTTTCTCGAATAGACCATTTGTCAATTGGTGTTTGTTTCAATCTAAAGCCAGGGCGATATGATGAAGATGGTGTACTTCGGCATGGTGGATTTGGAAGTGTGCTCATTGAAGATGAAGTTTATAGTGGAAAGTAAAAAAATCAAAGTACAAAAAATGTAGTACACAATCCAGATCTTCAGCAACCTCTCAAACTGCGCCTATATTTATCACTGTCTCAGGCTGAGGCTCACAGCAGTATAGGGATAATTTATAAATTGCAAGATGTATTGGTTAATAAAGAAAGGTTTTGTTGTGCGAACATAAAAAGAGATTATAAGATGTAAAACGACGCAAATTACGATTAAACAAATCTAGAAGTCGATTTAAACCGAATTTCATAATTAAAATCTACACTTCTCGAAACATTGCTGATGGAAATTTGATTGAAAGTGATCTGCTTTGCCGCGTTATTTACTATACTAGTTACTATTTATTCAAATAGATGGCAGGTTACACAGGTTGAGTAAACTTAACTGAAAGTCTTTCAGTGAAAGATAATTACAGTAAATCTATTAAAGAAGTGTTAATTATAATTAATTATTTTTATTCGTTCACCCAACTACACACTGTGAAGAGTCATCTGATGAACCTTTTCTCGACTTCGAGTTTTTTATCAGCAAGACCATCGATAGCCATACATTTGGTCTGGACGTCTGAAGGATCTTTACCATTTTTTGCTTTCAAAAGACCCTGAATTCGGTTAGTTAAAGCAGTAACAGACTTCTGCAATATTGTTTAATCATTACCGGCACTTGAAATCAACGCCTTATTGGTCACATTATTGGCTATCCCAACCACCATTTGTCCATCAGATTCCACTGAAATCAGCCTAAACATGGCAAAGTCAGTGAACAAAAGAAGTGAGTAGAGCTGAACAATTTATTTTAACTTTTTTCAATTTTTCACTCATCTTTTTCAATCCAAAAGTCGATCATTAATTGATATTGTCACAATAGCTTTTTATACCGAACTTTAAAAATCATCAACCAAACTGTATCATTTCGTATTGAGTAAACATTATCGTTGTTCATCCTTGAATATATTCGTTTATTTGCGCTCTTAAATTGAGAAGCACGAGTTTATTCTGCATAAGGGGTGTATAATAGGCTAAAATAGAGTCTAAACTTTGGTGATAGGTTGCAAATGCTAATACCATGCTCTCAATCTCTTTCACTGGAATTATTTTCGAGTTTTATTTGTTTCATTTGGTTTAAATAAACATTAATGCTATTTGAATGTAAGTTTTTTAGTCAAAATCTTCTGAATAAACTTTGCTCAAATAAGTAAATTACTTTTTCATCCACGAGCCATGTTTTAGGTTGAGATATACAGCTATGAAAATGAAGTTGAAGACAATTTATAAATGATTTGCGCATCTAGATTATCTCAAATCAATCTCAAAGTATTTACATGCTGTATTTATTGTATTTATTGACAATAATCTCTAAGATTAGAAATCAATTGATTACTTGCGCAAAATATTCAAAATTGTCTTCAACTTCATTTTCATAGCTGTATGAATCATTGTTTGAAAATCAACAATTAACGATGATAATGTTTACTCAAGTCGAATGATACAGTTAATGTTACAGTTTTGTTGATGCATCGAAAACTAATCAACGTTGTTATAAAAGCCAACTACTTCTAGTGACACGACTTCAATTGATTATCAAGTTACCAAAGTGAATCTGAGATTGTGTCCTTTTATTACATTTGAAAAAAGTATAAAATAGAAAAGTAAAAACTGTTGAAATGAAATGGTTAGTACCTGTTCTTTCGCTTCTTTTGTTCCCTGGCATCGCACTTTTCAGCCTCGTTACAGCAGATGATGACACGAATCCTGAATCAGACTATAAAGAAGGTAACTTTTTTCCGACATTGTCTGGTGCAGCTTCAAGCGATGACAATTTAGGTAATAGAATCAAGGCTGTACCCCCTAGTGTATACCTTAAAATTGCCAAGTCCTTGTCACCTGTACAAATTAGAAGGATTCTTAATAGACTGCGCAAGTTGTCTGATGAAGATTCACGAAGAATTTTACGTGAAACATACCGAAACGAAGAAGCAAATTCTGGTTTGGTATGAGACTGGACACATTTATTCGCAAAGGACATTGTAACTTGCAACTGTTGTGATCTAAAAAATCGAAAGAATGCTTCTGATAAGTGAAAGTACTAAGCGTTGGCCAGAAAGCTAAAAAGATGAGAAAAATTATGTTTAAATTATAAACACAATAAATCAAATTTCATAAAATCATTGTCGATAACTTTAATCCAGTTAAACTCTGGGTTTTTGCAAGATTGTTGCAAATGTTTAGTTGATATTAGATCAATAAACAAAAGCAAGTTATTTTTGAAATTCTTCTTCATGCTTTATTCAAAACCTTGAATTGCAAATCTGAGGGAGTGCTAACAATCACTATGATGTGATATTTCACCAGGATGCCCAGTAGATACAAGATTTACTAGCCGCAAAATTAATAGATTATGATTTATAATTTATTATTTTTAATTATAAATGTTTCATTACATATGAAACAATACGATAAAACTTTACAGGTTACACAGGTTGAAAAAACCTAACTGTAAGATAATTAATACAGTAATAATGTACATGTAAATCTATTGAAGAAGTGTTAATTATAATTTATTATTTTTATTTGTTCCCCAACTACACCATGTAAAGAGTTATTTGTTGATTTTTTTTTCGGCGTCGAGTTTTTTATCAGCAAGCCCATCGATAGCCATAACATTGGCCTGGACGTCTGAAGGATCTTTACCATTTTTTGTGCTTTCAAAAGACCCTCAGTTTGGTTATTTAAAGCAGTAACAGACTTCTGCAATATTGTTTAATCATTACCGGCACTTGAAATCAACGCCTTATTGGTCACATTATTGGCTATCCCAACCTCCATTTGTCCATCAGGTTCCACTGAAATCAGCCTAAAAATGGCAAAGTCAGTGAACAAAAGAAGTGAGTAGAACCGAAAAATTTATATTAACTGTTTTCAATTTAAAAGTCGACCATCAATTGATATTATCTCATGACAATGGCTTTTTATACCAAACTTTAAAAATCACAATCAAACTGTATCATTTGATTTAAATAAACATCATTGTTCATCCTTGAATTTATTTGTGATTAATTGTTGTCTTAATATGCGCTAGTAAATTCAGATGCACGAGTTTATTCTGGATAAGGGGTGTATAATATGCTAATATAAAGTATAAACTTTGGTGATAGTTTGCAAATGCTAATCTTTTTCACTGAAGTTATTTTCGAGTTTTATTTGTTTCATTTGGTTTAAATAAACATTAACGCTAGTTGTATTCAAGTGTTGCATTCGAATTCTTGCGAGTTTTAACTCAAATGTGTCAAGCACCTGTTTATGCCCGATTTATGTTTTATATCCTGCGATACCAATCTTTGTTTGAAAATGAATCATGCAAAATGATAGTGTTTATTCAAGTCGCATACAGTTTGGATGATGTATCGGAAAGTCATGAAGGTTGGTATAAAAGCTAATTACTTTTTAGTGAACAACATCAATTGTTTATCAAGTTTTCAAAGTGACTCTGAGATTTTGTTATTTATCTTTGAAAATAAAATAAAAAGTGAAAACAGTTGAAATGAAATTGTTTGAATGTGTTTTCTCGCTTCTTTTGTTGTCTGGCATTGCACTGTTCAGTCTCATAACAGCTCAAAACGTGCCAAACGCTGCGGAGACTAAAATTAATTTACAAAGGGGAGCTTTATGTCAAGCTTCAGACCCGCAACAAAATAAAAATCTAACAATCAACCCTAATAGCGCAAAAGTTCCAGATGGTGGCCTTAAGGTTAAGGTGCAAAAATTTTATCCAGAGAGACAAAGTGTGATTATACACCAAACTTCGTGCAAAAAGGAAAGGAAAGATGGTGTTCCGTGATTATTTCAGCCAAGTTGCGTCAAGATAACGTCTGAATGTGTGGAAAATTGAAGCTAATAAACATCTTAAAGAGCCAAAAATAATTACATTTATATTACTAAATAAATAAATCTAATTTCATTTACTTGAATCGTCTTGAATTTTATAGAAATTTCGCTTAATTCCCTTTTTTTATACTTGTCCAACTTGTCCAACATTCATTTGATTATTTGCCTATCTTTGAAATTATTCACTGTAACTTGCTTTTAAATATAACAAGCTGAGCCCCGATCATGACTGATCGTAAATTTCCTTTCACTGAATACAAAAAAATCCAATCCACATTTAAAGACTCAAATTATTGATGAAAAACCATTGTCAATTAGAAAAAATAAAATAAAATTTGGTTCAACAGTTGAGGCAACATATTTTTACCTAACTCTTTGCTCGAAAAATGGTTTTACATATCCTTCTAAAACAATAAACCAACAATCAACCTGAACAACCAAAACATTTTTCCCCCAAAGTCAATGGTAAAAGATACGGATTCTGCATTTTTTCCCCTACCCTGTTTGAACGCTAATTTCTCAGGTACCTGAATTCCGATGAAGTTCAGACTATTTTTCGTGGATGTAGTTTAATCATGGATTTCAGGCTGTGAAAAAATTTTCTTTAGAATCCTTTTAGTTTGGCCACAATTTTTACGCAAAAATTTCATGTTTTGACGGTATATATGGTATAGATTCTGTATTTCATTTGTTAATTGTTGCAAATTTCCTGTTGAGTTAACATCAATAAGACAACGCAAGCCAATATTTGACAAGCATCTTTGTTTCTATCAAAAGTTGGAGTCTCAAATATAATATTTAATAAGACTAGATATCAATAACTACGTATATTAGACACCGAAGTTGGTCGATACATCGATTCTGACTGTAATTGAACATTTTTTAATCAACAGATTGATAAAGTTATTAAAAATACAAACTCCGATTTTCAATAGCTGTGTATTTATATTTTTTCGACTAATTCATTTACTTTAATGTCCAATGGTCTACCAGAAAATGAACTTTGTGAATCAAATTTTCTGTTACTTGCTTTAACTGATTACATGTTCGGATTTTTATCAATCATCTCTGTTGGTAAGAAATGAGTTATTCTGTCAATTCTAAGGTAAAATTATTTGTCTTCATTTACGATCAAATTAACTTTTATCGTCAAAAACTAGTTAAACAGTGAGTTATAGTGACATGTTTAACCTTTTACCCATCTTTAGGTGCTTTCTTCGTTTCGTACTTTGACCTTTTTCAGTAAGAGCATGAAATCGACAAAATTATTGGGCTTCTTCAGTTTATTGACATAATGAATATTAGCATTGCTCTTATTGATTAGAATTATCTTGAATTTTTGATGAGAGTTGTGCTTGATATTTATAAATTACAAGCTGAGACACGATCATGACTGATCGTAATGTGAGTGTTTCACCGGGGATAAGAGATCAGTGAATCACCACACAGAATTTGTTCGTATGCTGAGACTCTGTTAACAGTAAAGAGAACCTTTTTTGAACAGAGATATCAGATACACCAAAGGTAAACGATGTTTACCCGACAAGTTAGATTGAATTGAATTTTATTGATAAGCTTGAATTAACATGAAATACAATATGAGGTGAACTGTAAGAGGAAAGATGTAGGTAGGGTTGAGCTGATTGGAAATGTTCAACAATCAGTATTAATTCTAACACAAGAATTTAAGGGTAAAATGACTCAAGACATCTAGAGATTCAACAGACAGGAGTTTTTTATCAATAGATTGTTTTCTAATTTCATGGATATTATCATTATCAACTTCTTCAGGAAGATCTAACTCATTTGAAAATGGAGTTCTTGAATCACATTGAAAAAGCAAATAATGAGGTGATGCATTCAATGCCTCTGATGGTGTATGATTGTAACTCATTACGTTACTTACGAGATTACCGTCCCAATTTTTGGTGTCTTTTTCTGAGAACATTGCTATGATTCTTCCGATAATGCCATTAATTCTTTCAACTAATCCTTGACTTTGAGGCATGTAGGCAGTTGAGTTTACGTGTTTAATATGATTTTGGTTCAGATAATCAGCTAATTCGTGAGATCTGAAGCATGGACCATTATCTGTTTGAATGATTTTTGGTAATCCTACTATTTGAATAATGTAATCAATGAATTTCATAACTTCTTTGTGTGTTTGTTTCGAATATGCTTGTACGAATGCAAAATTCGTCAAAACATCTACTGCTACAAATAAATATTTGTTCCCTCTTTTTGATCGCTTATATGGACCGACGATATCCATCTGTATTCTTTCAATTGGTTGTGATGGCACTAGCATGTTTTTGGGTCGATGATCATTACGTGTTTTTGGTTTATAGTTTCCACAAATGTCGCAGATAGCTATTTTATTTTTGATTATTTCATCCATGTTAGGAAACCAGTAAGTGTTTTTGATTCTTTTGATCGTTGGTTTGTACCCAAAATGTCCACCAAGTGTGTGCAAATGATATTGTTCGTAAACTTTATCAATAAGTGAAAAAGGTAAGACAACGCTAAATTTTGATAGTTTCATTTTTCTGTATAAAATATCGTTTTTGATCATAAACTTCATGTTTTCTTGTTTAGGGTTATTTTTAATTTTATCAATTATTCGTTTAATGAATGGATCATCACGTTGAAGTGTTTTAATTGTTGCTTGATTTGCCGTTGCTGGATTTTTTGCATCAAAAAGTAACTTTTTAATTAATTCATCATCTATAATTTCTGGCTGTTTTGAATTGGAACTAATCTCGTTGATCATTTCCTTTGCGGTTGATACTATTGACAGAGTGTTTATTGTGTTAATTTCACAAAATGATAGTAAATCACAAGTATCTTTGTTTCTTATTTTAATTTTTTCATCATTTGCGTTAGTATTTAAAGCGATTTCCAATGTATTAATAGTAATGTTTTCATCCAACGAAAAGTGGTGCAAATATCTATAAAAATCTTCTTCATCAATATAGCCAGTTTTCTTGTGTCGCCATTCTGCAGATCGAGAAAAGCAATCAGCAGGATGAGTATCGCCTTTGGTATACCTTATTTCGTAGTCAAATTCACTTAAAATGACAGCCCATCGATGTAATCTAGTACATTTAAAATTGGTCTTTTTCAATGAACAAAGTGCACAATGGTCTGATTCAATTATAAAATGTTTACCGTGCAAATAATGACTAAATTTTAAAACACCAACGATCACAGCTAAACACTCTTTTTCTGTGATCGGGTAACTCAATTGATGACGTGCTAATTTTTGACCAAAATAGCTGACTGGTCGCCAGTTATTGTTTTCCAATTGTAACAACATTCCTCCCACTGCAACTGAGGACGCATTAACAACTAGTTTATGATCCTTTTTCGGATCTAATTGACATAGTTTACAGTCACCAATAAGATAATTTTTAATTCTTTCCCAACAGTCTTGGTGTAATTTTGTCCAATTGTATTTAGTTTTCTTGGGGCAAAGTTCAAATAGATTCGATGCTAACGTGGCGTAATTTGGAATAAATCTAGCTAAATAATTAAACAAGCCAAGTTGCGATTGTAAAGATTTAACATCTTTTGGTGGTTGTAAATTTTTCAATCTTTCAATTTTAGCAGGACCTGGTTCAACACTGTCTCCAGAAATTAAAAATCCTAGAAATTTAACACTAGTGAAAGCCCATTTACATTTACTTGGAGAAACCTTTAATCCAATATTTTTTATTCTGGTAAAGACTGCGTCAATATTATCGATAAGTTCATCAAAACTTTTGCCAAAAATAATAACATCGTCTATATAAGCAAGACATTTAGTGTGTAAAATGTCTCCAAAAATCTTATTAACAAATTGTTGGAAATAAGCTGGCGAATCAGCTAAACCCATCGGTAATCTTTTATATTGATATTTTCCGAATTCTGTAACAAAAGCAACCTTTTCTCTCTCTTCAGGTGCTAATTCAAATTGGTGAAATCCTTGAGTAAAATCAATAGTAGCAAAGTATTTATTACCAACTAGATTTTGGATGAAATCGTCGTTATTTGGCATTGGATAACTTCTTGTTCGTAAAAGGACGTTCAAATCGTTAAATGCAGTAACTAATCTCCATTTTCCACCAGGTTTTGCAACAACCATTGCAGGAGAACCACCTCTTGAATTAGATGGTTCAATTAAATCATTATTTAAATAATCATTAACTATTGTTTTTAAAGCATTTCTTCTCTCTTCTCCAAGCCTGAATGGCTTTGCTTGTGGAATAGGATTCAATCCAATGTCTATCTTAATTTGTAACACTTCATGCGGCATTTTTCCAAGATCAAAATTGTGAGTTGAAAAAATATTTGAATAGTTATTGAATAAATTGTTAAGTATTCGTTTCTCATCTTCATTGAGTTCTGGATTAACGTTTGAATTCAAAGTTTGAATTAAATCATCGACTTTAGATGGTAATTCATCTGCTCTTGTATTTAATTTTAGTTTTTCTATCTTCTTATCGTGTATTTCTATTTCGTTCACTTCAATGTCCATTGCTAATTCATTTAGTGCGAATTCCGGATTCGATGCTGACTGAATGATTTCAGTGTTATTTTGTCTCGTATTTTGTCTCTTTCTTGTTTTACGTTGCGGCAAAGAAGATCCCTGTTGAGATTGACCTGAAACTGTAGGATTACTTGATTCATTCAGAGGTGAGATATGTTCAATCACCTCCTTGTGATCTTCATCCTCTTTTTCAGGACCATATCTTTCAGGAAAAATCGATGCAAAAATGGCTTCAAAATTTTCAGCACTTGGCTTTTTCATCCAGACTGTGAAATTGTAAAAGAACTTCCCACTAAAATGTCTTATTAAACCCCATTTACCGTCAACTGGTATTGCTCCGATTTTGCTCCAGAAGGCAAAATCTGTTCCTAATATCATATCATGTTTACAAAAATCAACGACGAAAATTTGCAAAGGTGCGTAAGCATAAGGGTGATGAGTAATTTCGAAAACGGCTTGTGTTATTCCTTTCGCTGTTATTTTAGTATTACCAACGACATTGTATGCTACTGGTTTCTTATAAATTTTCAATCCAATTCTGTTTGCGAC